TTAACTCTGTGCCTCCAGCTTCGGACCTTCGAACACTCGTGGGAATAATCAAGAGGTATGAATTGGAGCCTCTCTGGGGCTCCTCCTTGTACTCGGAAGTTAGAAAATTTCGATAGACATTCACGGTAGATATTGTAATCGCCCAATTGTTAAATAATACATTTTCGTTTTCCTTGGTAAATGGTGTCTATTGTTCGTTCATAGCCGACGCGTTATTGACGACCCCTCTCACCTGCACCACTCGACCTAAAAGAAAAAGTATCCCGAACCCTCGGGATCATAGAAGGTAAGTTAGTCGGACAAGTGGGCAGGTTTAACCAACCTGTTGCAGACAAAAAGAGGTACGACCTCGTCATACCTCCGGCGTTCCACAAAAATTAATAAGGCAAAAAACCAGGGGAAGGGCTGGTGTGCGGGTTTACAACTTAGTGTATATTTTCTTCAATGTCTCAGAAAATAAATTCAATTTAAAATATAATAAAAAGCTAAGAACAAAGGAAACGAATATTCTGTCATTTATATTTACAGTACAAGACAAAAATTAAAACGTAGATTTGAAAAGTATCGAAGGATCAAATTTGGCACTTTAACATTAGAAGTGTGGCTGAGCTCTGCTACACCGAGGTTAAAAATATTACACAATCGAATGACAATTCATTAACGATGATACCCATTTACTTTTAACCACGAATTAGATTTGTGACTGAAAAAGTGTTGAGTTTCCATATGTGAATGATAAATTGAATTCTGTTTACACTTCATAATTGACATTTGTTCTAAAGAATTGTTTTCATTTTCTTTTGTATAAACATTTAATTCAAATAATAATAATAATTTATATATTTGTTGTTGCAGGAACAGGAAGAAACAGATCCAGAAGTTGTCGGAGCATCCGAAATTCTCATGGATATGAGGAAAAAAAGATTGGAGATGACAAAGGAACAAAAAGAATCGCCTGATTCCGATACTCCGCCAAGTTTACAATAAGTTATTTTTACCGTTGTTTACGGATAATGCCACAATTTTTATAGGAATCATAACTATAGGAAACGCTTTTATAGGGGGATCTACTGTATTTCTATTGCTGTTTACATCGGCTTCTTTAATAGCGGCGTCGTGTTTACAGCTCGATAATTCGGCAGTTCGTTTGACTTTAATAATCGGATTTGTGAAGAAAAATTTCTTACTTGCATACTTCATAATCGTTTGTATGTATCCTTGCCCAATTTGCACAACCTGATTAAACTGATACAATTAATATTTTAAAGTGCTTTTAATCCCGAAAAATAAATCGACCTTATTTTATAACAAAACTCACCGACTTAAAGATCTATCTTTAAGTCGGTGAGTTTTGTTATAAAATGTTATGGCATTACTAAATACGTAACAAATGCAATGTGTATCAAACTGTTGTCCGTGGACTCTTCAGACTCCGAAAAGGTCTCGGGAAATACGTCAGATAAGTCACGTGGCTAGAGATCTAAACATTTTTCTAATACAATAGAGCATCGATTATCCGAATCAATTGGGGACTGGGGTTGTTCGGATAACCGATTATGTACGAAAAAATAGTTTAACTTATCCGATGTTGAAATTTTTTTCCGTTGCGTGTCGCTTCGCGTTGAATTTTAGTCGATGTTAAGCCTAACGAAGACTATTGCATCGTTAAAAATTATTTTTTTATTTTGTACGAACAAAATAAATATATTTAAAAATATAAAAACAATAAAAAATTATACTTCAGAAGTTAATTTAGTATCAAAAACGTAAAATATTTGAGTAGCCCAAGATATAGCCAAAGATTGCAGCGCCACAGCACTGGCGAAAATTTAAATTTGCCGACTGGAATTCTTTCGGATAATTAACGTTTCGGATGATTGACTTTCGGGTAATCGACGCTCTACTGTATTACATTTACACGTGATATATCTGATGTATTTTCGAACTTAAACAATCTTGAAACATCGAAAAATGCAAAACAATTCCGGATGTTATCTGTATGTATGGATGATAATGTGTGCGAAGAAGCACAATTTTGTTTACAAAATAGTAATTTTTTTTGACAGATCGTTATAGGCTTATACAGTATAACAGCCGGAAAAGTATTTATACATAACAAGTTGGAAAAGTAATAAGAGTCGGAGTCGGAACATTTTTGACGACTTATATTGCTAATATTATCGTTCGAAAATATTGCTAATTGTACAGTAGACTCCCCTATAACACTGTAGATAATTCTGTGTTATATGAATTCCATGTTGTACGAGTCACTTAGATTTTACAAATACATGGGCCGTTCACAGCCCGGCACACGTATTTGTAAAATCTAAGTGACTCGTACAACATGGAATTCATATAACACAGAATTATCTACAGTGTTATAGGGGTCTACTGTACTTACAATGACACATGAATCGTTCCATGCACTTGCCTTCTTAGATAGAAATATACGCAGTAAGTACTTGCAATTTTTACAACTATTGCTTCTATAATGAACATTTTAAATCATTTACTCAATTATAGAAAAAATCGCCCAACTACCATTTAATAAGCATCGATCAATAAAAAACGAAATCGAAATAAATACCGCAATGTTTCCATCAGTTGCATGCTTCAATATTCGTCATTTTTCTTTCTTCTTTCAGTAGATGATAGTTCGTATGGAGTGTTACGACTGTACACCTTTACACCGAGAGACTTGTGGATGATCGCTATGCGACCTTATAGAATGGTGTAATCGCGCGCGGGGAAACAATGCCTTTCGGGGGATTCTTACACAGGGATGTGTTCAATGCGCTGACAGGTGTTAACAACTGCAGAGAAGAAGGTGCCATTGAAATCTAGATGAAGCCAATGGATATACCGCGGGCAGCCCGAGCTAGAAACGATGTTGTGACAACGTGAGAAGGGGCGACGACCTATAGACAAGGATAAAGTAGGCGGCGAATGGGTCGTTATCAGTGGAGCCAAAGGTACTGCTGTCAGGCAGGAGCAGCAGATGCGTAGACCTTGCTGACGTGGTCCTTGATGGCTTTCTTGTCAATTTGGCAGTATTAGTTGTGTCCGCCAGGGATATTGTAGTGAGGTTTCCTTATTAAAGGATTGATGCTCTTAAATTTTAATGGTGAAGAAGTCGAGATTGTGGGAAGATAAGAAAAAGTCGCATGTGTTTCCACTAGGGTCGGACTTCAGGACGATTTTACTTGTTATTAGCATTTAACAAAACCTATACCTACTCTCAAAATTAACCTTTTTGATATTTTATAATAGGTAAAAAAATATTTTTTAAAAAACATTTTATAACAGATGGCACCACTAAATGTTGCCAGGAAAGTTCAGCAACTCGTTATTGGTTTTGTAAAGTGATTACAGTATTTCCGTATCGCTTGGCGATGAGGAAACATTTTGCTTTTAAGTTAATATATATTTAGAATAGATACAGATAGTATAGGTATATTTAATATTATGTTATATTGCATTTTTAGGCATTTTTATGCATGATATACAGCTAAAAAGGCAAAAGTAACTATTTTGGAATCAAGAGTAAATTAATCAGTTTATATTGTTTTTCACGGGAAAATTTCTTTTTCTTTCAGAACAAGTCGGTTTTTGAACGACTTTTAGAAACGAAATAAAGTTTAGTTATATTTGAAACAAGTTTCTTTTCATCTTCCTTCGTATTTTGTTTATATAAATATTTAAAATTTTGTTTCGACTCGATTTCTCGAAATATATTTATATTGTTGTATCTTCCATTAACACAATGAATATTATTTCATTTAACAATGAAATGTTAATAATTACATTTTAACAATAATTACAAAATTTGTCGCTTTTCTCAAACCAGAAATTGTCACAACTCGAGCGAATGGTAAGTGTCATTACTTAAATCATTTGAACTTGAAAACACCTTTCGTATTCTTGAATTACGTGTCTTTCAATGACCAAAATACAAAATTGTAAAACAGTTGTTGAACTTAGACAATTTCTATCGATCTGGATATTCTAACATAAAAATATAAATAATATATGTAATTATATCGACGTATTTGTTTATAAGGAGGTCGCTTCGAGTGACAAAAATGGCGGCATTAAATGCCAGTTGTGCGAAAATGAGTTTTCAAACGAACTGCATTTCCTCGAACATCTGAAGGAGAATCCGAAGTGCGAAAGGTTGACTTGTGACGTGTGTCGAAAACAATTTATTCGGATCTCCAATTTGAACAGACACAAGTCAATACATTCAAACGAAAAGAAATTTAAATGCGAGGAATGTGGTTATGTTACCGGAGATGGATCAAATTTTAAAAGACACGAAAACAGACACTCAAAGAAACAAGTTTATAAATGTAGCTATTGTAATTATTCGACTGCATGGAAAAGCAATTTAGACAGTCACATCTTGCAACAACATTCGAAAGAATTGAATTTCACCGAAAAAGTAAGGCGTTTATCCACAGGAGCGCAAATTTTAAAAGTTCGCGATTCTTTTGAAGATTTCATTCGAGGTTTATCGGAAATCGGAATTCGGCGGATTCGGAAAATCGGCGCGATGTCGTTAGTCCGGCGTTCGGTAATAGCGACTCCCCAGAGAGGGGGTAAGAAAGGTCTTTTATAGGTTTTTGTGGGAAATTTCCACAGTTAGGGGTTATAGGTGTTCCTGGGATCTACAACAAATGACGACATTTAGATGCTAACTGTAAATCTTCATGCAAGATGAGATGCCCGTTCTGCAAAGAACAATGGATGTTGCTAGCTATCACCGGAAAGTTTACACAATCCCGGCTAAGATCGTTTTTTCTTCTAGGGCGTTACATAAACGAAAGTTTAATTAATTAACATTTTTGTTAATAAAAGAACGGGATTTTCGTCACAAAAATTCCGGATCTCACACTTGCAACAGTGATATATTCAACAATTTAAAAAGAAATTTAAAAAAGTGTTTCTCTTATCGAAAACCTTTGTTGTATGCTTTATTTCGACAAATATCTGTTGTCTAATCCACCGTTGAACGTACTTGCTTGTATATGTTATGCGCCTTTGTGAATAACGAGAGAAACGGTGCCGCAGTCCGATAAATATTCATTCGTTTATTAAAAATATTAAAGTCCGGAAGAACTGGAAATACTGCTATTTGTATTTACATTGATTTTTCTCTTGAAACTTCGCAGCTGGAGAAAACTTTTCTATATCATCCGTGTCTGCGTTGGAAATAAGTACTTCATCTGTTTGTGCCTTGGCGTCATCGCTACCAATAATTACACTCGTGACAGACATTATAACATTACGTGACAAAATACTCAAAAGTAAGGACGTATTTCTGTATCGCGGTTTTCCGTGCGATTGTTCTCGTTTTCGTCATGTATATTTGGAGAATGAAATCTTCATTCAGGTTCATCTGCCAAGAAAGTTTTCCTAGAAACCAACGTTAGGTCGTAATTCTTCCGATTCGAAAAATACGAAGCTTTTCAAATTAATAGGGTTTTCCTGTTTAAATAAATCAAAATAATTACAATGAGTGCCAAAATACTTCATAACGAAGNGTCTAATATGTTTACCTTTGTTGACAATAACGCCGCATTCTTGACACCTGTGTGTCAACTTTCCCATCTAATTGTTAACATTTCCCATTTATAAATTTTTATAATTAGATTTTGGATATTGTTTTACATAAATATTTAAAGTCTATATTTCAATATGTAAATTAACTGTTAATTAATTTTGTTATTAAAAGTTTGTCGAGCCCCGCAAAAAAATTCAATCGGGCCTCACACCTATTGCATCCGACCCTGACAGTGTCTTTAAATAAAAACTTTTTTTATTGTATAGAAATTTTACAAATGTCAGTGCCACAAATTGTACCTCATTTTAAACTTCGCTGATGGTCCAAGTTGATTCATAAACAAAAGTATCGCGTAATGTTTAAGTAAATTATGTTTAAATAATGTTTAAGTAAAGCTATTCATCGACATGCTATTATTTTTACGGTAGTTTTGCAATTAGTTTTCAATTAAATGTAAAAAGCATCGTAGAATGGTATAAAAGAAATTGCATAATTAACAATATTTTTCAATTGTTTAGAAAATTGCAGGAGAAGGGACATCAAAGACTTTTAAAATCTCGGAACAGAGTGAGATGCACTCTTCTTCTGAAATCTCAGCAGCGAGTTCGATACAAGAGGAACATCTTAAAAGATACGAGAAAAATAAACGTTTGCAATTTTCTGAAAAATTATGGCAATGTCATCAATGTCGCTTTACTACAAACTCCGAGAAAGAATGGTTCCTACATAAACAGAAACACGTTGACGAATCTTCTTGCACATCAAAGGTATTTAATTGTTGTATTCTGTTTAAAAGTTTTAGTGCTTTCTAAATAAACATTTAATTTAAGTTAGGAAAATATAACTTTTTAAATTATAGTATAGGAAAGTAAATTTGTAATTTATAAAATCAGGTTTCTCACAATTTTATGAATAAAATACATTGCAATATACTTATTGTATATCTAATAAATAACTGGTGAAACCAGATTCAAAAAGTTGAGCTTGGCAGAAATATCTAAATAAAGGAAACTCTTAAAAGTTCTGGCATAAGAATAGTGGAAGCATCAGTTAAGAATCATCGGTTAAGGGATAAGAATAGTGGATGACTTGATAGTAAGACTGTTGATGTCACTATAGTTCGTATTACCTAGACTACAACTACAGCAAGGTTTGGAGAGAACAGTCACGTGATAATAAATCGGATAAATAAACATCGTCACAGAAAAAGGCTTCGAGTTTTACTTTGTGCCTTAATGTCGTCGCTCTACATTCATTTCTTTGAACGTTAGAACGCGTTTGAACAGTGTCAGCGAAGGAAGTTTGAGGCAAGAAGTAAAGCTGAAAGTTTATTTCTCTGACGATGCTAATTTTTCCGATTTATTGTTATGACGACCGCTTTCTCTAAAACTTTTTGTAGTTGTAGTGTCTGAATAATGCGAACTTTATTCACATGTTCAGTTTTACTGTCAATTCTGTCCCCACTATTCTTATGCAAGAGCTTTCAAAAGTTTCCTTTATTATGATGTTTCTGTCGAGCTCTGTGTATTCAAATTGATTTTAGCAGCTTTTTAAATGAGATTTCAAGTATTTTTCAGTTACAGATAACTTTATAAGGAAATAGTTTTTAGGATAACTTATGAGACATTCATAACTCGTGATATATTCATTTGACAGTCACGCGTAGTGTGCAGATTTTTCTGTCCCAGGAAATAAGGGTGAAAAATCTGATGCAGATCGAGCAAAAGCATTAAAAGTTAATAAAGAGTGTTAAATCAGGAGTATGCAGGTTTTTGTTCTGGTATATATTTTCTTCGGACTCCCAGAGAATAAGTATGAAAACTTAGGTATAGTTCGAGTAAAGGACTTAGGAATGTCTGATCCGGAATTTTTAGCGATGTTTTCCTAATTATTTTTTTTCCTAGCGCCTAAAGATTCGAAAAGAAAAAGAAGCAATATCGCGGGAAAATTTTATAATTATTCTTTTTAAATGTAAACATTCATTTAATTAAACATTAATTCTCATACTGCAAGACTTAAAGTTTACAGTTAACGTCCGATTTCTTCACTTTATTTTGATCCCGTGAACACCCTTAATATCCATACCGGCTCCAATAACCTATACCTCCCACATCAGGGCATTACGTGGCGTATTTTCCCAGCACGCAGCTATAAAAGCCGCTTTTCCCGCTTCTCACCTCCTCAGGGGAGTTTCTCACCAACTGTGGACGAGTAGAAGCCGGACCCTACTAAGGAACTATAGTCAGAATTTTTACTAATTGCCACCTACGACGTTAAGTGGCGATTTTCCTAATTAATTAACTCTGTGCCTCTAGCTTCGGACCTTCGAACACTCGTGGGAATAATCAAGAGGTATGAATTGAAGCCTCTCTGGGGCTCCTCCTTGTACTCGGAAGTTAGAAAATTTCGATAGACATTCACGATAGATATTGTAATCGCCCAATTGTTAAATAATACATTTTCGTTTTCCTTGGTAAATGGTGTCTATTGTTCGTTCATAGCCGACGCGTTATTGACGACCCCTCTCACCTGCACCACTCGACCTAAAAGAAAAAGTATCCCGACCCCTCGGGATCATAGAAGGTAAGTTAGTCGGACAAGTGGGCAGGTTTAACCAACCTGTTGCAGACAAAAAGAGGTACGACCTCGTCATACCTCCGGCGTTCCACAAAAATTAATAAGGCAAAAAACCAGGGGAAGGGCTGGTGTGCGGGTTTACAACTTAGTGTATATTTTCTTCAATGTCTCAGAAAATAAATTCAATTTAAAATATAATAAAAAGCTAAGAACAAAGAAAACAAATATTCTGTCATTTATATTTACAGTACAAGACAAAAATTAAAACGTAGATTTGAAAAGTATCGAAGGATCAAATTTGGCACTTTAACATTAGAAGTGTGGCTGAGCTCTGCTACACCGAGGTTAAAAATATTACACAATCGAATGACAATTCATTAACGATGATACCCATTTACTTTTAACCACGAATTAGATTTGTGACTGAAAAAGTGTTGAGTTTCCATTTGTGAATGATAAATTGAATTCTGTTTATATTTCATAATTGACATTTGTTCTAAAGAATTTTTTTCATTTTCTTTTGTATAAACATTTAATTCAAATAATAATAATAATTTATATATTTGTTGTTGCAGGAACAGGAAGAAACAGATCCAGAAGTTGTCGGAGCATCCGAAATTCTCATGGATATGAGGAAAAAAAGATTGGAGATGACAAAGGAACAAAAGGAATCGCCTGATTCCGATACTCCGCCAAGTTTACAATAACCTACGAATGTTCAATATGGATTCATATTCTATCCAGTTTTTAAAAATTTAAACGGGAGATTTTCAAAATCTATCTATTTCATACAAAGTGTTGTAAATAGCCCGTAAATTCGACATTTAAGACGAATTGAACTTATTGATTACTGTAATATTTTGACAAAACTTCGTAAAATTTTCGTTCACGAAGTTTTGTCGTCAACAAAATATAAATTTCATCTTTATTGAAAATTTATTTCACATTAAAATAATTGTTCTTGTTTAAGAATAATTTCATCACGTCATTAGTGTTTTAATTATAACAATTTGAATATAATCGTATTGATCTTGCCTGATGAAGCATTCCAAGATATCCATACGAAAGTATGAAGTAATTTACGTCAATTTTGTAATAGTGCATTCAATTAAAAATTTGGAATGGGAGTCGTAAATATCTCTAAAATACGCTATTTGTGGTAACGTAAAGAACAATAAAACTAAATTTCAACTAAAGTGGACAGAAACATTAGGAGTTACAGGGTATTCACTTACATATACATAAACAGCCTTTATATTAAAATATTACAATTTCTTTATATTCTGAGTAAATACTCTATTGTGATTTTCCTGCTGTCTTTCTTTAGTAATACACACTTTAATATTGTTTATTCACGAACTAAGTTTAAAATACGCCATTTGCCATAATATTTAAAAATGAACTAAATAATGTCACTGAGGTCACTATGACATAAGTGCGATGACTGGTCAGAAATCAATAAAAAGTTTATTTTAGAGCTAATATTTGTATAAAATAACTAGTCTATACTTTCCGATAGAATATGGAACGAATAAAACCAAAATTTCATCCGGATTGGACAAAAACTGCAGCAGTTACAAAAAATTCACACACACTTACGACGGCTTTTATATTATTAATTCTCCGGGCTTTAGGTTTTTATATTATGTATAAGAAGGAGCGCTTGGACAATTTATACGAAAAAATAAATATTCCGTAAAAGAAACGAAATTCAGAATCTTTAATACATAAACTTATTTGATATTGTAATACATATGTACAATAATAGACTTTTCAAAATTAAAAAATAACAATTTAACTTACAATGCTTGATTTAAAAAATACTAAATTTCGTTCAGTTAAATCATTATATCCATTTACCCATATCCATTTTGTAATCATTAATTGAATATGACAAATTATAAATTCTATGCCAGGAAATTAAAAAGAAAAGTTATGGAAATGAAGATTTACCATAATTACAGTTATGAAATTATGAGATTTTTTTCATGAAACTTTTATGACATTTCTTGTATGAATGGCATTTAATTTAAATTATGGTTTTACAATGTAAATGAATTCTCGGATGTTCATTCGCACCAGTGTTGCCGTTCCTAGTACATTTGTACTTTTCTGGTACATTTTGCCCTTTTCAGTAAATTGAAAGTACATTTAGATTTTTAGTACATTTTCAGTACATTATAATATTTCAAGTACAATTTACGGTACAAATTAATATTTCACGCCTTAACGAAAAAATAAGAAAAAATTAGTTCAATAAAGTCTCACTAGTATCACTGCTTGCTAATTTAAATTATCCAATCACAACATAGAAATGGTGTTTGTCTGTCGACGTCAGCAACATAGATAGTTGCACCTGTAAACGGTCTTGACTCAGTGGTCTTCTTTCACACGTTCAGTTGTCTGCACGTTCTCATCAGGACCTTGACAAAATTTTTAATGCCACGTGGTCCAAACAATTCAACTACGTCAAACAAAAATAACGGACAGGTAAGGAAATCAATTTTAAACTTTCGTCATCAATAATATCAAAATATCCGTTAAGTCAGAAACAAATTATTACAGAAAATAGTTTTGAAATTGTACGAGTATAAATAATATAAATACTTTTATATTATTTTCTACCACTATAATTTAATTCTTAAATTATGAACTTCAATTTTAGTAATCGTAGTAAAAGAAATAAGGGTTAATGTTACGTATGGTTCCAAAATGGCCGCGCTTCCGACTGTTCCAAGGTCTATATAAGAAGGTCAGGACACGCGTGATCTACTTCTTGAGCTGCCATTTTGGGGTTTTTTGAGTTGCATGTTTTAAGCAAACTTGTACGAGCAGTCAGTTTTATATGACATTAATTAAACTAAAATTGCATAAATCCTGTAATTTCCAGTCAAAAATATAATAATAATTTCGGATGATTATGCAACCCCAATTTTATGTAACGTTTTCATCAAATAGTTTAAAAGAAACAAGCATCCTTATCTTTTGCTGTCATGATTGAAATTAATTAAATAGGTACTAAAACTGATGCAATTACGTATATACCACTTCGTAAAGTGATGCAATAACATCAAAAAAATTTAAAGTATAATAAAGAATAAAATAATATAACAAATTTATAATTATTTTTTTAAAGCACGATTGGTTATAAAATTAAGATGAAATTCAATAGTATTATTAATAAATGTTGTTAATGTAATGCTCATTTTATAATAAGTAATAGATCTGTAGATATATTTTTAATTTTAAATAGCTTTCAAAAAATTCCAAAAATAAGATTTAAAATGAAATTATTTGACAATAAACTATATATATAGGCTATATATATATATAAATATAGGCATGTAAACAAAGTATTCATAGAAATAGTACATTTTTTGAAGGCGCTTCAGTACGTTTTGAAATTTCATCGCGGCAACACTGATTAGCACGTAATGATAACTTCGCATCATACTAGTAAAATTCTTTTAAGCAATGATTATGTAAATATAAAAAGCTGGAACCTCGTGGAGGTGGAATTATATTTTTATTTTGCGAGTGGCAATATAATAATGTCATGTACGGTCTGTCGTAGATTCGATGTTCGTCACAATAACTGTTTCTTCAAAATTTAGTAAACCATTCGCCATCGAGAATAAGGCATATGATCCTGTGTGAAATTAATTCTTGCATCTCTCGTTATATACTCCGCATATTTCAATGCAAACATTCCACAATCACTTCCATTCATTTGATGAGGTATATTTTTTACTGTTTCTAGTGCCCACCCACTCATATCGAATTCTTCTTTCTTTTTATCCATTCTCTCATCTTGTAAATATGTTCTTAGCGCATTTAAACACTCGTCATTTCGCCCACCCATACAATCATAATACTGAATTTTTTATGTCGGTAGACAATAACAGCTAAACACCGGTGCATTCCCATGTGAACGAGAATAAGCGGCCTGTCATATTAAAAATGTCAATGTTTCTCGTTCATCTTTTCAATGCACTGTGACCACTGTTTAACAATTCGGTACAGAAGAGTGTATTAAATGCTGATACAGTTGGAAAAGTATCCAATTTGCTTCTTTCCATAAGCAACTTTATGTAGAAATTAATAATTACATCATTAAACCAATTAAGTCGCGCAAGTGTTTCCGTATCTCTGCGTGCAACGGACAGACGAAATCCTTCGGCTAAAACTTCATCCGGAAGATTTGACCTTAAAGCATCATCAACTTCCACATCCATTTCAGATGTTAATTCTGGAAAACCATCTAACTGATCTTCGTCTTCAAGAGGTTTTTCTTCTGAAACTGTTGGCGTTTTTCTTTTAAAAATGTCTTTCATCTTTTCCTTTGCAATTGCATTCTTTTCTTCCCTCTTCTCTCGAATCGATCGCGTTAATTCTTCTTGATATCTCATCTTTTTCTTCTCTTTTTCATCTCACCTTTCTATTGACTGTCGAAGTTCTTTCGGCGAATTTCCGTGAAAAAGTGGTTCTCTTTTTGCTTCGCTGACAATTGGACTTTCGAGACTGGTGATTTCCTAACCTCTACCATTCTCATAATCACACTATCATCGTCGTCATTTTTAACGGGCGAAGGTTTCACCCTATTTGCTTTCATTAAAGAATATTTGTTCAATGTACTAGCGTTATTTTCAAATTTCAATATTGGAAGATACTCTTTTGGTGTGGATGCTTTCTTTACACTTGAATGTTAAACATTATGAATTGAATGTGATAATTCTATTAAATCACAAGTTGATTTTTTGCTTAATTTCTCTCTTCTCGCAGGTGATGAAAATTTGAATGACATCTGTTTATTTGCTTGCTGTTATGATTTGCCATAACTTAAGCCACTTTGAACTTGTGCATCTTGAATCATACTGAATACTTTTTTGAGCAGTTAAAATATTTCTTCTTTCATTTAAACCCGAATATCTGATTGTCTTATATTTAGTAGAAGCATCATTTATTTCATGTCCATTACTTTTATTATTTTCATTACTTATTTTTTAAAAGAAAACACACTTGTGGTTCTTCATTTGAATCATTCACTGTACGTGTCCTCGAATAATCAGAAACTTTTAAGAAATTTAGGAAATGTGTCATCAACTATTCAGAATCTGCGCTACATTCCTACTAGAACAAAACGAATACTAACAGAAGAATAGAACATTTCCAAAGATTCACTATATTTTACAAGGAGAGAGTAAATGCTCTTTCTCTACATCTTTAAAAAAATCTCATTATAAGAATCTGAAAGAAAAACTCTAAACAATTAAGTGTTTAAGACGGGAATGAAACAGAGGAAATGTTTCGTTTACATTTTTTATGAATTGTGCAAAACATTTTTCCATCGATTAATTGAAGTTTTTACAGAAACGTTTCTTTTTGTAAACCGTGTCACGTTTAACAGGTTAAGTATGTATCAATCAACCCACTCGAAAACAATAATTTTCCTGGCGACAAAGTAGTATGTTTGGAAGACACGTATATAGCTCGAGTGGTTTTTATATGGTGGAAATGAATTCATTGTATGAAAAGAAATAAACAATTCTGCTGGATTTGAAAGTAATATGCGAGTTTCGGTCGGATGGCCCTTGATAGTGTTCTAGTGTAGAACACTATCAAGGGCCATCCTACACTAACTCGTCAGTTTGTACACGGTAAGAGATTAATGAGTTAATTCGAAGTGTAAAGTATTAAGGGCTATTCTGGTCAGATTACAAATTTGAGAAAGTAAAGTGTTCTTATTTATTAATTGAATATATTTGCGCAAACTAAGAAAGAAGGGCTATTCTGGTCAGATTACAAATTTGAGAAAGTAAAGTGTTCTTATTTATTAATTGAATATATTTGCGCAAACTAAGAAAGTAAATTTGATAAATCGTTTTTATACAGTACTTGCTACGGGAGTTTTTTTTCTAATTCTGACAGCAAAAATGAATTAACTCATTTCAAGTTATGANTATATATATATATAAATTATAGCCAATCTTACCCATTTTCACAGAATACAAGAATATATATATATTCTTGCTATATATATTATATATATTATGCTATATATATAAAAATGGACGTGTTTGTCCCTATATTTTATTCTGCAGCCAAAACTGCACATCGCACATGAATGTTGTTTGTGTGTGGTAGTAGCCCCAAGTCTCCCACCGTGCACAATGGTGTTTTCGTCTCGATAGCTATAAGAGTGTGGGAGATACGGGGTGTATCAATAATGGAAGTGTCAACAAAGGAAGTGTTAAGAGAAAGCGGCGTGAAAGATTTACAGGCGCAAATGCGGTTTTTTTTTTGCGTTTTCGCAAGAAATCGAACATATTTTTAGACTCATGTAAAAA